AGATTATCCTTCATATGGGAAGAAAAGACAAGAACATTCTCAGATAAACAAAACTTGAAAGAATTTATCAACACCAGACCAGATCTCCAAGTAGTTCTCAAGGGAGTGCTATACCAGGAAAATTAAATACAGACACACAGAAATAAGACTTCAAAAACTAAGAAAATGGCCAATTTAATCATAGGGACAAGTCTGGAGTTGAATATTATGTCCCAGAATTTAATTGGGAAGATCGATCCACAATAGAATATAATTTAAATACATGATACTGAACTGTTGAAAGAGAGTTTTATGGTTTTTGACCAAAACAGTGCTGATTTTCTTCTAGGCTTTGTTTTCCAGTTTTAAGAATTTTTGTCCTGTCTTGAGCTGCCAATAAGTTCATGTACCTGCTTTTTGAACAGAATCCTAACCTGTTTCCTGGCTTTAAGTTATAAGCAAAGCAAATTTCTTGAAATTAAAAACTATAGTAAAAAATACCTATTTAATGACCGTAGTAAGCTATATAGCATCAGCTCAGTGCTACCTTATAGTATATTCATTCTACTCAGAGTTTCACGCCTAAAATCAGACATGTATTCACAGATATGTACATATCAGCTGAGCTTGCTATTGAAAGTAGTTAGATTATTTAAGAAATTTTGTGAATCAATAAAATGTGGGGGAAAAAAGGACAGCTGCTAGTCCCCCTGGCTTTAAGTTTTAAGCAAAGTTTCTTAGCATTTCTTTGATTTATTAAAACTAGAACTGCTAGGGAACTAGCAGTTAGCATAATGGCTGTGTCGCTGGACTCCCACGTGGTCAACCGCGGTTCGTGTCCCGGACCCGGTGGCTTAAAACTCACGCCGGGTTTTCTTGAAATTGAAAAATATAGTAAAAAAAATACATAATTAATGACCATAGTAAACTATAAGCATCAGCTAGGTGCTACCTTACAGTATATTCATTCTACTCAGTTTCATGCCGTAACTCAGACATGTATTCATAGATACGTATATATAACAGCAGAGCTTGCTATTGAAAGTAGTTAGATTATTTAAGAAGTTTTGTGACTCCATAAAATGTGGGGGGAAAAAAGGAATGGAAAACAACTGTGGACACCTGAGATAGTGTGGGAGGAGCGTGGGAGATGGCAGAGGGTGAGAAATAGGGGGAATACATATATATATATATATACACACACACAGACACACACACATATATATATAAAACTAGAAATGGAAAATTACTGAAGATAACATGTATGATTAAGCCACTATGCAGTATATTCTGGATGGGAAATCACATTTTGTATGCTGTGACAATGCTCAGGGAATGAACATTAATTAATT